CAACAATCAACACCAATCACTATCAACGGGATAGCTTTAACAGAGATTGCCTCCTTCACTTATCTAGGTAGACAGCATCGTTTCAACTACAGACGGAACGGACGAAGATGTCAAAGCAGGCCGGAATCGGAAAGGCAAGATCCGCCTTCATCAACTTGAAACCAGTTTGGAAATCTTCGACTTTCACTCAGCATAAGGAACAAGATTCGCATTTTCAACACAAATGTGAAGTCGGTTGTTCTATACGAGTCAGAAAATTACACTGCGTGTTACGAAGAGGATTTCCAACAGCCAGTTGCAGACATTTATCAACAGCTGCCTTCGCTGACTCCATACACAAGATTAAATGGCTAACTGGCCAGAAAGAATGAGCAACAAGAAACTATGGAAACAAACCAACCAGCAGCCGATTGCTCAACAAATATGTAGGAGAAAATGGAGATGGATAGGGTATACATTGAGGAAGCCGCCAAATGACATCGCATGTCAGGCCCTCGAGTGAAATCCCAGTTGGAAGTGACAAGTGGCTGACATGTAAGTGATCGTGTGAGGAAGAGATTAGAGAGAGTTCGGCCAATCGTGGACCCACCTGAAGAGGACGGCAGAAAGCAGAACAAAGTGGAGATGTGTTCTTGAAGCTCTACGTTCCAATCGGAACGCAAGGGAATAATAATAAATAAACAAATAAAATAATAAGATTGAAATGAAAACTGGCTTTCTAATTCAGACACCTGACATATCGCATCCTCCCATGATCTGCTTCTGTGTTTTTTTACTCCATATATCACTACGAAAATTTTCTTAAGGTCAAACAACATTTACTTACTACATCTGAAGTAAAGGAGGTTTCTTGACCTGGTGTTGAAACTGATTTAATCAGCTTTGATATTCCCAAGCCAGATAAACCAGATAACACTTTCTTTCTTCCAATGATTTCTTCACCTTCAAAAGCTGGATTATCTACTGGACCACCGCCTGCATCAGTGACATTCTGATCAGCTCTTTCACTATCAGCATTATTATTATTATTATTAGATTTTAAGGATTGATTCATATCAGATTTACTCATCTTTACAGAATTTGGTGTCTTTCTTCGCAGCGAGTGTATTTGATCCCCTAGCAGGGGTTTCGATGATTTTACTACTTTATCCTCATCGAGATTTTGTTCACCTGCTTGTTTCATTGAGTCGCTAGATTTTTTACCACGTACCATTTCTTGTATTTCAGAAATTTGGAAATTGTCACGACCGCGTCGAAGTTTAGAAACTATGAAATGAAATGAGATAAAGGAATAATTTGAAAACAAGAAGTGTTAAATAATTCCTTGTAGGAATATTAAAGATTATTTATTTAGCCTATTTCTAAATGAATGTCGTGTTTGTACAAGGGATAATATAAAATACACAAATGTAGAGGGCTAAGTTAAACTATAGGACCCTAAACAAACGACACTACCAGAGAACTCGAAACAATCAATAAGCTTTAGTGTGTGAATTAAATTAATTATTGAGGAAATCAACAGATATTTATAGATTTTTATGTACATTATTATTAGCGTTATTGTTAGCGGAGAAACAACGTCTTCTGATTGGTTGTCTTCTTGCTGAAGATTATTCTGTCATCTGTTTGTGGCCGTTTTTTAGAAAGTTAGGCCATATATCTGCGAATCGTATTTGCACACGCTAAGTCTGCTGTGATTGGTTGTTATCGTTTTTTCTCATGGCACCGATTCGGGAAGTAAACACTGACGTAAATTGTTGTCCACAATTTTGGCTAGCAGACAGGTCTCACCATAAAATGATTGCTACTTGACTGAGATGAGCAGTTGTATACGACTCATATCATTGAGTGGAGCCTGTTGGTCAACCGGATGATGCCAAAAATCAGTCGCAAGAGATATTATCAGGTTCCGCTTGATATAGAATCCAAAGAATCTGCAGCCCCGAATCAATAGACAAAGAGATCACCCCCCCACCCCTAGTTACAATTGTGATTATTCATCACATTTCTGAAACACTTTGATGACGTAAACAGTAACCCTAACTCATTTTTATTTTTGTTTGACACTCCTAATGTAAACATACACATATGTAATAATTATATAAATGTGACTGTACAGCTAAGTGAATGAATTCGCAGTCGAAAAGAGACTCTTCGCTGAACTTTGTCTGGATGGGTGTTTTCCGTGAATTAAAACAAATTATGCTAGAAAAAAAGAAGAAAAAGACTTACCTTTTTTATGATAATTTGGTATTTTCATACCATTCGATTTCAGGATATCCAGTAATTCATGTCGGAATGCGCTGATATCGCCTTTAATTTCACTCAAGTCATCTGGACTGACTGTTTCATTTTCACCAGATTTCAGTTTGTACATAATATAACGTTTAGTTAATTCACGCATGACAACTTGATAACGTGCTTCACGTTCTTTTACTTGTTTTACACGTTGCTAATGGGGGAAAAGGGTAAAAAATAGAACAAAAACAAGATTGTTTATTAAATCTTCCACAAGAGACAGAAAAAATACATGAACGCTAGGTATCATTGATGAAAGTTTTCAATAGTTGGTTTGTAAGGATTAGATTTGTTTATTCGAGTTTGACAGCGGATTGATATCAGTTAGAGAATCATTTAAAACCAGCTTTGGAGTACTGGACAGCTGTTTCATCCCACTAGTTTGGGAATCATTGCCAGTACGCACCCACCGCCAGGGTTTCAGCCCAGGACCTTCCAGTTACAAGGCAAGCTTCCTCGTATACCATCCAGCCACTGAGACCCGATTCAATGGCCAGCCCATGAATTCTAACTTCTACCAATCTGTGATTCAGCGCGACCACCAACCGATGCCATCGGTGGGAAATCCGTGGTCAAACTCGCAAAAACAAATTGATGTAAGTGTAGAACTTGGGCACTGTGGTGGTAGAATGTAATTCCATATTAGATAAATTTGTTTTAATAATCACACAGTGATACAGTATTAACAAATGGAAAATAAATTATTGCTCGTAATCATGTCAGTTTAGTCACACAGTTTCACATCTTGTCTTACATATATTTTTTCTCTCTTTCTGTCTATCCAAATTCCCTTTGTTGTTTGTTGCTAATTTCCATATCTCCGGAATAGGTGTTGCGTCATTCCTATTGCATACGTGCGGTGTTGAATCGATAAACAAAGCTTCAGTGATTAACCTCTCTCTGTTTCCACCTGACTGTATTACTCTTTGATATTCTCACCCTGTCCCACCCTATCACTGTGTGATTACATGCAAGTGAATGCGGTACAATACAGTGCAACGGTGGCACAGCGGTTAGGACGCTCACCGACCATGCACACAGTCCAGGGTTCGATCCCATACCACCGACACACTCCTTTACCTCACTAATAATAATAATGGCTTTATTCCAAACAGTATTTGTGGTACAGGTATGGAATTTTCAGCGTTCATTACAATATTGCATCTAATTACCTCATAAATTTTATAAGGATTTAAAAATAGAAAGCAACAACAACAAAAAGAAAAAGAGAAATAAAAGAAATAAAAAAGAACGGCATTGCATTCACATATTTAAACAATGCACGACAGGATATGATATATAAAATTAGTCTGTAATAGAATATATGAGCAACAATATAATAGTAACAAAGAAAGGAGAACAAAAGTTAATGGGAATTATTTGTTAGAGTGCCGCAGTAAGTTGATCGTGTCATGCCTAACAGTTTTCTCATCACATAACAGCTGTGCCAGATAAGGTATTGTGGAGTTTTTATACTTGGTAGTCCTGGCATATAGCTTCCTATAGTTGCTTCTAGTTCTACCAGATGAAATGCAAGGAGAGAGCTGCGTATGGAGAGGGTGTTCGGGGTCTGACAATATAGAATTCGCCAGTTTCTTACATGACATTATATGTCTATCCACAATTGTGTTAACCAGTTGGTTTAACGAAATCCCACTTGCCCTACTAACAGCTTTTATTGCCCTATGCAGAGAAGCAAAGTCTTTCTTAAGTAGTCCAGGAAAGATTAATGGGGAGCAGTAAAGAGGGATGGGTAGAATACAGGAATTGACAAACTGAGAAAGCAAAGACTGCTTTATACCAGACTGCCTAAACTTCCTAACGTAGAACGTTAAGCGAAACATCTTTCTAGTCACTAGCAAAATGTGAGAGGACCAAGAAAGATCGGAGGAAATACTCAGTCCAAGGTACTTGACATTAGATGTAGTTTCAACCTCTATGCCATCAATGATAGTGGGACCATGTGAGCTAGCTAGTTGTTGTAGGTCACTTTTTCGTTTGAAAGTAAAATTTACTACCTGACATTTAGACGGATTCAGCCTAAGACCGTTTGAAGAGGACCAATGACTAATTTCCGAGAGAAAGTTATTTAATATGGAACAGTCTGACTGAGAGTTGACAGGCATGGAGACAGAGAGGTCATCAGCATACTTGACAAAATTTGCTACATCAGAATGGGGCAAGTCATGTAAGAAAAAAGAAAACAGAAAAGGAGAAAGAACAGCACCTTGAGGAACACCAGATAAAGTAAGTGAGGTAGTGGAGGACTTTCCATTGTAGACAGTGTACTGCTTCCTATCAGAAAAGTAGGAATACCACCAGTAATAAGACTGGTAAACAGGAAAGGTTGGGCATGAGTCTAGTAACCCCATCCTGTAAAAATAAACACTGCTATAGAAACTTCAAGCCTGTAGCTTGAAGCCCTAGGTTCCACTAGAAACGTGAAGGAAAAATAACAGTGCAATGGCCGAGCTTTCTCCTGAGTTATTTAACTTAACAGAGTCAATCATTCTGGGTCTAGCTAGCTAAATTTTTATGTTCCAATAGTCGAATTGCCCTTGATCTACTAGTCTGATCTATGTAACTCACCTCACAGTCAGCATTACATGGTATTTGGTAAGTTTATCTCTGAGAGAGTTGGCTGGTTGGTTTAAATGTCATCGTAATTTCAGCGTCACTGAGAATCCTACTCAAGGCCGCTGTTTTTTCTTCATAAAGAAGTGCTACCGAGGCTTTGAATTTCATATTATTTTCGTTACTTTCATCACTTTTATTGCTAGTCGTAGTTTTTCTATGGTTCTTCATATATTTCTGGACAAATTGTGGTGGGTAGTTATTCACCAGTGATATTTCCTTTATTTGTTTGATGTCGTTATTTAAATCTTCTGACTTGCTAGTTAGGCTCTTGGCCCGATTATACAGAGATTTAACTCAACTTGTCTTTACCGATTTTGGATAGGATGAATTAAAGTTTAAGTATTTACTGCAGTGTGTGTCGGTTTCCTATAGATGCTAGTATCTAACCACCCACCCTCTTGTTTTCGTTTTATTCTACAGTCTAGCATGGCCAACTCACCCTGTTCATTTTCTAACTCAGAAATGAATTGGATTCCCTCTAATATTGAGTTTACATGTGTGAAAAACTGAGGGATATGTTCAGATATGTTCAACACAGTGATGGAATGTGTCATCCACATATCTCCACCATAACCTAGGAGCAGGATTAAACGTTCTAAGAGCCTTATGTTCCCAACTATCCATAAATATGTCTGCTACTATTGGGGGCATTGGTGGTTCCATTGCCACCCCAATCGTTTGTTTGTATAGTGTACTTTGAAATTTGAAGACAGTGGAGTTTACACATAACTGAACACCTAATATTATTTCATCTACCGAGAGCTTTGTCCTATTTTTGAGATGAGGAACAATGTTCAGTACATTCCTAACAGCCTCCACAGCTGTATTAATGGGAATATTGGAATATAGACTGGTTAGGTTAAAACTAATAATTTTTTAAATCTTTTTCTATTTGAATTTTCTCTAGTTTCTGTTTCATTACATAGAAATTAATTAGCCTAGATTTTGACCTATCAATAATGGGGCATAATATGAATGCTAAATATTTAGATAACTTGTACGTTAGGGTGTTCCTAAAGTCAACTATTGGCCTGATAGGATATCCAGCTCACGTGGGAATCTCATTGAAGCTGGAATTAGGGTGGTATTTAAACTAACCAACCAACCAACTCTCTCAGAGATAAACATTGTCGATTTATGGACCCAATAGATCCAATTAAGAAAAATAATATGATTTACCGAATCCCATGTAACGCTGACTGTGAGGTCAATTATTACGTAGGTCAAACTAGTAGATCAGGGGCAGTTAGATTTGTTGGAACGTGAACACTTAGCTGGCTTGACCTAGAATGATTGACCCTACTAAGTTAAATAATCTAGAGAAAAGCTCATTCATTGCACTGCATTCCCTTGCATGTAATCTCACACAATAGGCCGGGTGGCACAAGGTGACAGTATTCAAAAGTTCTGCTGAAATCCTATGTCAATGGACGTGAACAAGGAACGTTTGTTTATTGGAACTGGCAGCCATTGGTGGGCAACTCGAAGGCGTGAATGGTTCGATCGTGTGCAAGTTGGAAGAAGGCGGAAAGGAATACGAATAAAAGTACTTTATAACTTCATTTGTACTAAACATTTGTTTGTAGACTCTGTATTTTGTCTCGCTTTAATTGCCAAACAATAAAAATTCGTTCAAGGAATACTGGTGTTTTGGATTTAAAGTTGAAACGAAATACTTAGTCATTATCGGTTCAGATCGCCTACGTCACAATAGGAACTTAGGGCTAAGTTCCTTGACATCCTACGTTCCAACTGGAACCCAAGGGAATAAAAATAATAATGCAGTCATCCTTAAGCAATATGTAAGAACTTGGTTAACTGGAAATCTGTTATAACGAATGCAGGTTAGCGCCTTTATATATTCGCATGCTATAAAAGATAGAGTAATTTCATTGTAACGATTATTTTATTAGCTTTGGTGGTTCAGTAGTAGAATGCTCACCGATCACTCAGATGGTCAAAGAATCGGTTCCCAGCCAATGGATGCACTCCCAAACCCCGCTTAACGGATAATAAGCACAGTAAAGACAGAAGACTGGATGTGAGGCTACCAACCCATCCTGTAAAAAAGTCAGCCCCACAACTACTGAAACTTCTTAGCTCAAGTGTGAAGCTTCGATCAAATCTCCTTAACAATGGTTATCCTACAAGGTTTATTGAACGTAACATAAAAAAAGAATACGCCCCCATGCAAATCACAATGCCAAAGAAAAAACTATTTATGAGTGTTGCATTCAAAGGTGACACCATTTCTGTGTCGTTGGAACGGCGGCTAGGATTCTTGCCGACCATGCACATGGTCAGGGTTCGATCTCCTGCCGACACACACTTGATATCAATGATCGGCCTGCTAAATTTGGGCTACCGATATCACATGCTGAAAATCCCACACCTGTACCAAAAACACTGTGTGGAATCAAGCTATAATCAAAAGTAAAAAAATAAATAAATATATAGCCAAATTGCATACATCTTATCTTCACACACTATTTGCACAGATCATCCGTGTCGTGCTACTTCTCGCCTTTATATTGAGAAGCCAACGAAATAAATGACGGTACCATATTATTCTGCACAAACCACTGTTGTTCTTGCTTTATTTAAGTTCCTTTTTGTTCCTTTCACGTCCCCCATGTATCTCCGCAACACTGTATTATCTGCTTTCTCTGACATTGAACCTTTCTCCTTGCTATTCGACGATTTGTGCGCCGATGAACCTCTCTTTATATATACTACTGATAAATCGTATCAGTAGAACACGCCACACTACCACTAGTGGAACTTCAAAGCTGTCAACAGCTTTAAAGCCCTATGCAATCCACTTGGAACGCAAAGCAGTGAACAAAAATCATCTTCATATGAAATTAAGTCAAGGAAAAAATAACTTACACGAACTGTCTCCCAATTATTACGATGTAATTTCTCTTTATAACAATTTAAAAACAATTTTTTCAATGAATTCATCATATACATAAATGATTTTGGTGTAGGTATTATATTGAATGGAACAGGTACAGTACAACCTTCACCAAAAAAGCTGATCCATAGCTTTGATCGTGCAAATTTCCATTCAACATCCACTTGACCCTATGGATAGGTAAATATTGAAAATAAAGAGAGAGAGAGAGAAAGAGAAAGCATCAATATTCATGTAAGTAGATGGTATTGATGTGGTAATAAGATAAAAATCTCAATCACTACAAGATTCGAACTTGATGTTCGGGAATCCACCAACTGACCTACTAAACAGGTATAATTTCATCTTCCTGCATAATTCGCTCATAGTCTTCGATTTCGGGAGGCAAAAGAGGCCTTCATTAATCCGAAATCAATGTGGAAATCTACTGTACTCACCATAAGGAACAATCTAAGGATTTTCAACACTAACTTCGACCCACTCAGTGCTTTGATATGGTTCAGAGACTTGGTACGCGTCACCGAAGGTATTTACAATAGGCTACTGCCGACTTTTATCAACAGCTGTCATCGTTTCATTCTGAAAATCAGATGACCAGAGACAAACTTTGGCAACAAGCCAACCAAGAGCTTGTCACCTAAGAAACATGAAGAAGGAAATGCAGATGGTCTGGGAACACACTGGGGAGACTACTGAATGAAACCACGCCCTAGGGAGACCGTCAAGTGGAACCACTTGAGAGAGATCGTGTAAGGAGGCGATTGAAGCTTAAGAGCAGCCATGAAGCCAACTAAAAAGGACAGTGGAGAACAGAGTGAAGTAGAGGTATGATTTTGGAGCCCTTTGTATGTTCCACTCGGAACCCTAGGGAATAACCATAATAAATTATGTGATAGTGATGACTTGAGTTTTTGTTATCCGGATAATGTCCAACCGATGAAGTAATAAAATGAAATTATCTTATCATGTAGAAGCGGTTCTTGATGAATTTTATTCAAATTTATTAATGGAATTAATTACATAAAAATTCTGTAAATTAGACCATAGTGAATTCACTAAACACTACCGTTCTCTCCAGAGCTAACAGGTATCCTAACTTAAATCAGTGGATGTAAACGATTGTGGACAAATAATTTCTCTGAACTAATGTCGAAATTGCAAACAGGAGTAAATACAAATACCGCTGGTTGCGTAGTAACGAAGAGTCACAGGCTAGGACGAAACGGCTGTCCAGTATGTCCAGATTTTCCAGTGGTTCTCTGACTGATGTCAGCTCATGATGAAATTCTCCAACCAATCGAACAAAATCCCTACAAAACCAATACTTGGAAATATTCCATCTTGTACTTGCTCCACAATACACTTTCTATAAGGTGATTCTTATTTGTCTTTACTGACTATTGGATGCTAAAATGCACGGATTTATAATTATAACGCTTTGAGAAAATGTTACTGAAGCCATAACTATTCGGTCTAATTGCTCCTTTTCTGAATAAAATATGGTAATATATTCAAGTTTATGACATTTTGTTTGCTACTTAAAATGATCCCCTGCTTGTTAGTAGTATTGTGGCGTGTGCTACTGATAGGATTTATCAGTAGTATATGAAGAGATGTCCACAGATCTTCCGTAATGTGCTACTTCTACCCTTCATAATGTGTCTCTTTATATTCCTTTCACGTCTCGCATATATCTCCGCAACAATGTGTCATTTGCTTTCTCCTTGCTATTTAATGTTTTTACGCAGACGAATGTCCATTTATATACTACTGATAAATCTAATCAGTAACACACACCCCAGTATCACTGAAGTTTGCGTATTCTTTGTATGAATATTTGAGGTTTTTATGCATACATATTGTGTTGTATATCACACTTACTACAATTTGTTCATAAGAACTGTTCATCATTGCAATCAGCATATTCAATAGCACAATGAAAGCGATGTAAGAATACGTCCCAAAGGTTAGTTTACCTAAGTGAAGAAACAAAATAAATAAATTCATCATTCAATTCGGTGAATAAAAAGTTAGTGTATCCCACAAATTGTTCTGTGCAAATGAATTTTAATGGAAATAACTGATACTACTTAAAGTAGACAAGTGATAATAACTAAATAATTCCAATTGTGGCATTAAGAACATTCTTTTTTCACTTAATTTACTTCACACCATTACCATCGCTAGTATTATTCGTCAATCTTTGGATTTCTCAGAAGAATGGTTACTGAACAAAGAAAATTCTTTTCTAAAACCTCATCATCAGATTCTACAGTTCTATACATATAACAGTAAATGAATTAGTTTTTAAGACTTGGTTTGTAAGGATTAGTTTTGTTTATAAGTTTCGAGACCGTAGGTGTTACGAACTTCCTGGAATAATTTGAGCACCGAGTCAGATTGATTATATAAATTACTTAAATTAATCTCAGCATGCTAAGAAAATCAAAACAAGATCTGTTTTCTGAACACTTCGCTGTGTAAGCCACAGCTTCTTCAGCAGATTTATTCGGATTTTTATTAATCATCAAAACATATAGTCCAAAATTTTTTCGGTAAATTGAAGTCAGTTTATTTGAAGGTCATTTGTCCATGGACACTTTTACCAATAGAAATATGTAAGCAGTCATCACATATATTTGTAATGACTAATGCTGAACAGCTGAATAACTTCAAAGACTATTTGCTTCATATAATATTAAAGTCTATGTCAAACCTTCTAATTCTCTGAAGAAAGCGTTGGTGCATGTCAAAGATATAGTTCCCAAAATATCACAAAGTAATTGTGTCTATAGGATAAAGTGTTCAGAATGTGATGCATGCTATATAGGGCAGAGCAGTAGGCAGGTGAAGGTTAGAGTGAATGAACACAGACTATGCACGAAACGTCCACCTAGACATGAAGTAGAATTAAAAAGTCTGGAAAAAGATCTGCTATAGTAATGCATGCGATAGAGAGCGGATATAAGACTGATTTCAACAACGTCGAAATTCTTGGAAGAGGATTTCATTCACATAAAGAAAGACTGACTTCTGAAGCCTTGCACATTTTAACCACATCGAATGCAGTGAATAGGAAAGAAGGGATAGACTTATCACCAATATGGCAAACTCTTATGAAATAAGACAGATGGAAAAAACAATAAACAATCTATGAGCCTCCATGGCCTTTAAAAACATGTAGTATCATGTTTATCACATATGAATTCACGTATTTCCCACATGACAAATAACATACATACACACAATCACACAAAACTAATCTTTATAATTATATTTCAATAGTTTACACACAACGATAAGTTTTGTTATTGGTAATATGTGGACTGTATGTGAGGTCTTGCAGATAGAATACGTACACTTACAACAACACCAGAGGACCAGTGTGAAGAATTAAACGTCATATTCAAAATGCTACTCGAAAATAACTACCCAAAAGAATTTATAAAAGACAATATAAAACAGAGAAAAAGGAGGGTAAAACCGGGGTATAATAAGATGGAAGAATGCAAAACAACAGTCAAAATACCATATAAAAATGGTACATCAGAGGCAATTCAAAGAAACCTCAAAAATATCGGCATTCGCACAACTTTTTAACCGACAAATCTGATCAAAAATAAAATAAATCAACTGAAAGATTCCATAAAAATGATGGATAAAAACAACTTGATTTACAAAATATCTTGTGTTGACTGTCCGACTAAATGTGTGGGGCAAACGTCCAGATCACTCAAAATAAGAGTGAATGAACATAAACGCCTAACCAAAGGTCAACAAACAGGAACACAAGCCTTCAAGAATCTTGAAAAAATTCATCGATAGCTGCACATGCATGGGACAAAAATCACAGTATCGATTGGAACAATGTGTGTATTCTAAAACCTAACATGAACAAATGGAAAGAAAGACTTATAACAGAATTGATATTCATTAAGGTCACACCAGATACATGTAACAAGGGTGACTCAGTACAACTATCAACAACTTGGAATATAATTCTGAATACAAAAAAACATGAATGAGCAAAAATAATGAACTACATATATGAGTACAAATCATAAATGTGTGAATCAAACAATTCCAACAGTGGTGTGAACACGGGCAGTAATTTTGCTCGAAATATTACCAATAACAAAACTTATCATTGTGTGTAAACTATTAAAATATAATTATACTTTATTTGATCAAATCCACAATGCTCAAACTTTTTACTGATATTAACTAATCTTTATAAATCAGCTATAGAAGAGTATACACAACAGCAATTTGACATTAGTCATTACAAATATATGTGATGACTGCTTACATATTTCTATCGGCAAAAGTGTCCATGGACAAATGACCTTCAAATAAACTGACCTCAATTTACAGAAAAAATTTTGGACTATATTTTTTGGACTCGTGAATTCTAACTTCTACGAAATCATGATTTAGAACGACCAGTAACCAATATCACAGGTGGGAACTCCATTCTCACTCCGTACTGGATGGACCTCACTGATCACAGTATCTCACTAGAAGTGCAGGCAACTTCGTCCTGTAAACAGTCACTAGCGAGCATCAGATTAATTTTCAAGAATTAATTTGTAGAGATTCTATCTGTTTCAGGTTAGATAGATTCTGTACCCTGATAATAATGAGTCATCAACACAGTTCAAATAAATAAAAATTTGAAGAATACCATGACTTTCACTGGAATCGATAAGACTGAGACACAGAATTAAAGGATACAGGGAATTATGAAGAGAAATAAGGAGACAAGTTATTAAAGCACTTTCTTATGTCTTTTGTATGCCATTATTTCGATGCTTGGGTGGCTGATGGTATGAGACATATTACTGAGTCTTAGAAAAGACATTGGATGATGTTGAGTGAACTAGTGTTTGAACACATTTGCACTTTGAAATTGTGACCATCTTTTCATACATTTATGATGTAAAGTATTGGTAGAACAATTAAAAATAAAGTGTATTGTATAAAGATATACAATGTAGAATAAAGATGATATCGATTATTAAAAAAATAAACGAATACTATGCTGTCAGGATAAGCAAGTATGATTTATGCCACCTATAATAGACAAAAAATATCGTATGATCTGTAGACTATAGACCACTACTATATGTTAGGGGATGAACACTTCACACTAATCCATTCCTCTTCACATTTCTCTCTCTCTCAATGTCACGTGTCAAGTCCTTCGTCTGGTGAAGAAAGAATTCTTTCAGTCAAGTTTGTAATGTGTTAGATGGCTGGCTATCATGATGCTCTCTGGACTGATGCCAAATGACTGGAGGAAATTTTGAGAATGAATTGCTCATATGCTTCGTATCTGCTGACACTCGTCAGTAGCAAGGCGTATGTGAAATCTTGAAGAAAACCATGCCCCTTATCAACCTGAGGCTGACCTCTTCTAGAGTTGTAAGGGGTAATTTGATTGGATACGAGATTGTAGATACTCCATGTCGGTGAATGCCGACAAAAGCGAAACCTAAATCCTAAGCTTCATGATAATTGCCTCCAACCATCTCAAATCAATTCAGAGTTCCCCCTAATGCACAGCCATGTAGCATAATGGTCATATTGCAGACTTGACTGATAGAATTCAGTCTGTGCCAAGCCAAAGACTAGACATGTAGAGTGTGCTCCTGACAGGATTTATAAGTTGAATATAAACAGACGTTCATCAGCACACAAGTATCAAATAGCCGAGAGATAGATATGACGTCAGAGAGAGAGGGGAGAACGAACCAGTATTGCGGCAAAATATGGGAGACACGAAAAAAGCCACAGAAACACAATACGAAGGATAGAAGTAGCACAGTATGAAAGATCCGTGTACATAATTTCCCTTAAATATGTCTGTATATATATATATATTCTGCTGTCTATGCCGTGGGAAGTCATCATCAACGGGGTCCACCTAGATGGGTGTGAGGACGAATGATCGCAAATGACACTGACTGGCGGTGGTGCTTTATATCGCGGACTGACAAAAGTCAATATTTATAGGTCATTGGATTCCAACTGTACTGATGAACAGTCCCAAACTAGCATAAACACCTGGTTAGTACACCATCATTTCCAATGGTTCTCTAATTGAAGTCAGCTTGTGATCAATCTTTAAATCAATCAAATCCCTAAAAATCAACATTTAAAGACTGAATCAAGTCCTTTTTAAAACACAAGACCTCCTTTGGTATTTGTTATCGGGATAAATGCACAAACATACAACATGAAATCTCGACCTTGTCAATACAAATAAAACTATTTTGTGTATTTTTTTCTTTTCCGAACTTACCTACAAACTCTGTGAATACATGAGGATATTCCAAATTGAAACTTGTCAAATCGATTAAACCATATGCAGACCAGTATAATGATTGAACAATTTCAAATAAACTAAATAAATACAAGAAAGTAAAGATACACTCCAGTCTTAGACTCACTAAAACAATAACGAATTCTTACTGCTTTCTACTCTTTGGGGCATTTGAAATAAACACCAATTGAGTGGTGAGAAACAACAATAAAGACAATAATACATACACTCCGGTAACAAGTAACATTTGTAAATTTTATCAATAATCTCTTGGGTTCCGAATGGGACATAATTCTTCAGCAGCACATGTCAATTTATGTAGAGTCTAGAGTCTCTAGAGTCTTTCCTAGCTGGCTCTACCAATGCCCATAGGCTGTCACCTTCTTCACACAAGATATCCACGTCAAACTCGGAAAAACAAACAAACTCGTCTTCTCCCATTCGTACTGTACTCGACAACCTTCTTTGCGTGTGTCTAGTTCAACTTCATCTCCTTCTGCATATTTGTGGCGCAATAGGTTGTTAGATGGTTTATAGACAGGGGGTCCCTACTGCTTGCTTTTCCTTTTTAGTTCGTTATCTGCTCCTCAACACCAAGTGAAGGTAACTGTTGATGAAATCTGCAGGCTTATCTGAGATGGCACAGACCCAACTGTAACTATATAATAAATAATTATATATGAGAAATGGTGGCATGATGATAATACATGCAGTTGTTCGTTTTCATCTGTTGATAGGGACCCATCAATCAGGTGTGTTCCCTCAACACTAAACTATATGACGCAGAATTGTGATACATTATAATATGAAACTGGATGTTAAAATGTAGTCGCTGGGAGACTCCAGTCGACCCACAGTTCGTAACTGTTAGTGTACATCATCGTGGATATATGACTCATCGATTTAGGAGCTCTAATTCCAAACACAGCGTCACCAATTCCAAAACACGTTAGCCAGGTATTGTCATTAGCTCTCGTACGCATTAGGTATGGTTCACTGCAAACTATATGGAAGTTCAAATGGTTTTTGAGTCATGCATAATACACATCATTATGGCTTATCTTCGGCATCGCAGATCTGTTTTTTTCCTGTAACTGGAATATAAATCACTATTCATGCCACATCTGACCGCCTATGAGACTGGTTGACGTGCACCAGTTGGTTGCAAGGTAGTAACCAGTGTTGTTATCCAGCTCTAATTGTTGACAGAAATCTATTCTCGAAGTGCACAATATGGTTGCCGAGATAAATGACAAGACTTTAACACGGAATACAAGTTTCCACCACATTTTTTGGTGAATGGTGCTGATGACTACTGAGAACCACGAAATGCTGGTTAAACAGGGATTCTAGCCTACTGACTACCCAAATTTCATGTACATATGTATGTTCTCCGGTTAGATCGTCGGAGATAATCGGCTGAAAGCGATGGACGTAAGTTTCGTACTTAGAGACATTCGTCAGTAACCGCATCAGCAGTCCCGAAGAAAATATAGTCTCCACAGTGACTCGGACCTGTGTCACCTAGTAATGCAGTTAGAGACGTCACCTATGTGGTATTTTTTGAAACACACTGTCCATGAGTCTTCAGAATGGTTTCACCTTTTCTTTATAGTATATACATTGAAACACAGAAGTAAGCATTCAGCCCAATTCATTATTGTTAAGTAAGACAATGGTCAAAGTCAACAGCTGCCTTCGTTCAATACCGGATTTCCAGAAAGGATTAACAAAGAGGAACTATAGATACGAACTAACCAACAACCTTTCATCCACAAAATGTACAGAATAAAATGGAGGTGGGTAGGACACATATTGAGGAAACCATTGAGTGACGTCAAATGTCAGGCAAGTCCTTGAGCCGAACTCTAATAGGAAGTGTTAAGTTACCCATCTGAGTGTGACATGGAGGAGATCATGTAAAGAGGAGATGAACGCTTATGGACAGTCATGGGACCAGCTATAAAGGACTGCGGAGAACAGGATGGAATGAAGATGTGCTGCTGGACCCAAGGGAATAATAATAATAACAAAATCAAAATAGACTAGCACCCATCAATACTAATAAACAGTTACTACTTAAACCGTATGCATTTTTTCACTACATTCAATCTAATACCATCAATGTCGGTATACCGATCCATCACCTGAAAGGACTGTTACTACGATGCACCCTCAACGTATACTTTAGTTTCAACAACGAAATATACAGGCAAGTAGATGGAGTAGCAATGGGTTCTCCCCTGGGATCCCTCCTGATGACTGCTTCATGGCTAGCCTAGAAAGCAACTCCTTGTCATCAACTATCAACGACCTCCATCTCTACAAGAGATACATTGATGATACATTCATCATTTGTGATGAGAACCTGGACCTTGAAAACTTACTTCAAACCTGCAACAATGCCCTCCAAAACATCGACTTTACTCTTGAAGCTGAATCCGGTGGAATATTCCCCTTCCTCGACGTTCATTTGACAAGAAACGCCAACAACTCTCTGAAAACGTCCATATACAAAAAGCCTACATGGAATGGACAATTAATTAACTTTCAAGGCTTCAAGCCCCTAAGCAGAAAGAGGAACCTGATATACGCTCTTTCCTCGAGGATTCGGGAGATATGCAGTGAGGAGGTGATTGAAGAAGACCTGCGTAATCTCCGGAGAACCTTGATGGAAAACGGGTTCATAGAGAAGAATCTCAAATCAAAGAAGACTTCCAAAAAAGTCCAATCCGTCCCAAAGAAAATACTTCTGCTTAATCTAGAGTTCAAAGGTGACATTGAAGCAGAAATCCTTCGTAAACGCCTCCCCAAATCTCTGAGGAAAACATACTTCGCCGTGAGTCTACAAGTGACGTTTTCCTGCATGAAACTGTCCAGCCAGAACGCGAAAGACAAGCTGTCGCATTGGGCCACTTCAACGTGCATATGTCAATTTACTTGCTGAGCTGAGTACATCGGCAGTACCATGCGCCAACTTGATAAACGCGCTCGTGAACACTATCCAGCATGGCTTGTAAAAGGAGATCGAAAACGCGTATATAGTTCAGTGACAGAACATCTGGTCAATTCAGGACATTCAGCGCCATTCGAAAAATCCTTCAAAATAATATACAAGATTCAATCAAACCAATCGAAGGGAGTGAAATTAAGAAATCTGGGCATAGCTGAGGCACTAGCCATCCAAAAGCTGAAACCCACGCTATGCATCCAAAAGAAATACGTCCAACTCTTGTCCCCACCGCGGCCATCATTAACAGGAAATTCTTTTAGTAATGACCATCCCATTGACTTTCTTATACAAACTTCCTGTTTATTCATGTTATTTACACTACCATATTTTCATATCCGAACTTCCTGTCTATTTTGTCATTTTAATATTTCTACTTATTTAATCCCTGATTACATAAACAATTATTCGTCACATTAGTTATGATCCCACTAGATTGTTAATCTAAACATCCTGTATATTCTGTTATTTCTACGTTTCTAACCCTTAATTGCACAACATGTCAATCCTCTCAGTAATTATGATGCTACTTTGTTTGAGTTTTATCCGTCACCCAGTTTATAATGGCATTTTAATTCCTAATTGTAATTTTATTAATTTGACCTTTGACCGGAAATTATTCTGGAACCCTCTCACCTATATATCATAAATACATGAATGTACACCCTAGTTGACGGTGACTTCATCGAAAAGAAAATTTTCTTCGCTGCAATCGTCTTTGTATAAATAATTATGAATGATTACTACTCACTTTGTAAAATACGTTCCCCGTGTAATACAATAATCATAAACATCTTTTTGACCTTCTTCCAGAGTGAAATGAACATTTTTACAATTTCTAGCACGATTTTTAGCATAAAACCAATACAACTGATTGAAGCCGAATGCAAATGCCACAAGGACAAGGAAATAAACACAAAAGAAACGAAATATATCATATAACATTCTTCCAAGGGATATTTGTAATGGACCAAGTTGTGGACTAACTGTGAAGACATAAACTAATTTCAATGTTGACACGATGTTCGCCGCAGCAAACAAACACTCTGAAACCAGAACTGGATCAAATGAATCCCATTGGCCACGATTCACATAACGTGGTTCATTGTAAAACACTGTCTGTTGTGTTGTTAATTTGTAAAAGAAAAGACAGAAAAGAGTAATAAAAGTATGTTAAAAGGATATTGGAAGTTTAAGAGAATACCTTTAATAAAAACATATAAGGTACTATGAAGGATGTTATTTGGGTTAATTATGATTAGCATTGGGATCCAGAGTGTGGGTTTCATCCTTTTTAAGACTCGTCACCAGGATATGTCTACATTCCTGGTGAGTAATTGTGTTCCCACTGAGAATCTAACACGTCACCCTTCTTTGCCACCACTGACCAAAATAACATCACGTTAATCTTCAGATATCGTCAAAGCTTTCGTACCAGGTATCTGACATGTCGACAAAAACGGTGTATTTCAGTAAAACATCATCGATGAACGCTCAGATTAACCTAGAAGATAAATAATTAATGATACCTGTTGCACAACAGGTGACTCAAGTGACCTGGTGAATAATGCTTTGGCGTTTGGAACGACTGTCAAAGGGTTTGATTCTCGCTAGAAATACCATCATCACTGACCGGGCTTGTAGGTACGTTCGGATGATGAGCCCCAAATAGGAAGGACGAAATGAACATCCTAGTTACCACCCAGGCTGTTTGTTAGATTTCATCAAGAACTGAAATCAGTCAGAGAACCATTGAAGACCAGTGAGTACAGGAGATCCGTCTTTTCCTGGTTCGCATCTATGGTTGTACCAGGGGTTGTAGGAGTTGTTTGATGGAATCTAACTTAAAGTCAAAAGGACTCCTAGGCTGACCATTAGTAACTGATTATGGGATGGATTTCCTGCAGTTCTAATAAGAAGCTGCGACGGTTGGAGTTCGGGGTCTGAGATGTAGGGAAATGCTAAGATATGGCTGGAGAATGGGCTATCCATCACGATTTGGTAGAAGTTAGAATTCATGGGCTATTTGGAGCAGTACCAACAGCTGAACGGTCAAAGGGCTGGCCGCGATCCCTGGTGGGGAAACGACAACGAAGGTTCGATTACTCATACACAACAATGCTATGATGATTAAATGAAACTGCACTGAAATTCCTGTTGATCCAAAACTCATTCTTAAAACTCTTTTCCATCAGAACAACTCAAAATTTAAAAGAAAACTCGTTTGGTGGAGAAAGGTTAGCTAAAATATCAAAATCTTGAGGAGTAAACACTTATAATTAGATTATTTTTGAAGATTTAATTGTTGTTCCGTTTTTGGCTAATTAAGTATTTTCCAGTATACTTCGAATAAGTAAATTAGGGGAGTTGTAGTGTAATCAACGATGGTGATTGGCGACCTGCTTAAAACTTGGGCTACCAAAAACTTCCATCTCTCTATTGCATATGTTCTCCCTTGTTCAGTTTGTTTTAATCAATTGAAACATGACCTCCTGATCTGCAAGTTCCTACTAAACTTGAAGAATGACCTGATTGTCAGTGGCAACGTACGTATCCCAATTCATGAGATAACTGTTCTTCATTTATATCCTTAGGTTTCAAGATGTACTTCTCAACACCTTACAATTGGCTTCCGACTAGATATCGTGGATTTCTTGAAGGAGACAAAGCAGATATATCACATTATGGAATGATTTGTGCTTCAGCTCAGAGATCGCTGTGTCACAGAATATACTGTCAGCTAATAGTTTACTTGAAGGTATTGTCCGAAGGGAAAATATCATTATTATCTTCATTTCAGAAAGGCTAACGGCTAGACTGATAAAGTATAGCAACGCAAGAGAACCACCAACGAAATGACCTTGACCAATAGGGAGCGTGATTTAAGTAGAAAATCCTATAGCAAACAAATTACGTAATACAAATTATTATACAGCATGGCGATCCCTTATATATCCCAGAAATATCTCCCAGTTTGTCAGTGGGGGTCTTAGTGCTTATTCCAAAACAATTTCTGTATATTAAATTTATCTAGATGAGTGCATATCATGTGATATCTTGACCAAATTATCACTAAAATGAAATGCCCATAGAATCTTTCTAAGTAATTAGTGTGCATTTGTCACCCAAACGGATTATCAAGATGAGAAGAACGATCTACAGAGTTGTGATTAGAGCCAGATGACGATAATGGTTTCCAAATCCTTCATTCATCTGTGTGGATAGTTGTTCTGGCCTTTACAACAAGACGTTGTATACAGGATTTTCATCATGAGCTGACATTAGTTAGAGAAACATTGGAAAACAAACTGGGAGTACTGGACAGCTGTTTCGTCCTAGTTTGGGACTCTTCACAGTACGCATCCACCGGGATTCGAACCCTGGACCTTCCGGTTACAAGGCGAGCTAGCTCGTAGACCATTAAGCCACTGCGACCCGATCCAATGGCCCATGAATTCCAACTTCTGCCAATTCACGACATAGCGCGACCCTTAGCCAGCTCATGATGAAAATCCTGTAACTAATCAAATCCCTACAAACCAACACTTGAATATCAGTGAGATGCTCACTAGCGACTTGCCCTTTTCAGGTAGGTAGTTACCTGGGGTTCTAGTGAGAAGTCGTGACCAAAAGGGTGCAGCAGTTCGGGCGTGAGGAAAAATACTCGCCGAAGACATTGGCTAGGGGTCGCGCTATGTCGTGAATTGGCAGAAGTTGGAATTCATGGGCCATTGGATCGGGTCGCAGTGGCTTAATGGTCTACGAGCTAGCTCGCCTTGTAACCAGAAGGTCCAGGGTTCGAATCCCGGTGGATGCGTACTGTGAAGAGTCCCAAACTAGGACGAAACAGCTGTCCAGTACTCCCAGTTTGTTTTCCAATGTTTCTCTAACTAATGTCAGCTCATGATGAAAATCCTGTAACCAGTCAAATCCCTACAAACCAACACTTGAAGGCGTTGGATAATTGGTCTTTCCTATAAGCTTATTGTCAAGACAGTATTGAAATGCAAGATAAGGATGATAATTGTACAATGAAGCTTATTTAATTGATTGTTTAGAGTCTTTTTATTGATTTTTAGCTTCAATGGTTATATTTTAGTCTAACCATGCTAACGTATAACTCATGAGTCAATCAACCAAACTCTGGTGTTTCTAAATTTGAGAAGAAAACATTGCAACACGTAAATAATTGTACTTTGTTTTACTGTAAAACAATAATGATAATAGTAGGAAAAACTTACTCTTGCCCAAGCTACTGTTCTTAGCGATATCGTTGATATATATAGTGAATTCATAACAAAATCCACAAGATTCCACATATCTGTTAAATGAGCTCTTAAACCCCATATATACAGCTTTTTCATTTGTTGCCAGACAAAACCTATAAAAAGAAAATTTTAGAGGAAAAATGTTTAAGGAAAATCTAGATAGATATCAGTCCGTGATCAACTAGTAAAAAAACCATAAGAAACCCTTACAAACCAAACTATAGAAAATTAATCTGATGCTCGCTAGTGACTTGCTACAGGATGGAGTTTCCTGGAGTTCTAGTGAGAAGTTGGGACCAGTGAGGTCCATCCAGATGTCACGTGTGAGGACGGATGTCCCACCAATGACAATGGTTGGGGTCGCGCTAAATCACGAATTGATAGAAGTTAGAATTCATGGGCTAGCCATTGAATCGGGTCCCAATGGCTGAATGGTATACGAGCCAGCTTGCCTTGTAACCGGAAGGTCCTGGGTTCGAACCCCTGCAGTGGGTGACTACTGCCGATGATTCCCAAACTAGGATGAAACAGCAGCTGTCCAGTACTCTCTGTGGCTGGTTTTCAATGGTTCTCTAACTGATATCAGTCCATGATCAACTCGTAAAAACATAACAAACCCTTACAAACCAAACTATAGAAAATCTTGATACTAAAGTCAGTAAAATGTTTGAGTATTAAGGAATAGATCAAATAAACTTTATTACTCGATTTAATCATATTCATCCAAATATCCGAGTAACTTCCGAACTCGAATCGAACAACAAACTCGGTTTCGTGGATATTTCAATGATCAGAATAGATAATGGACGATTAAGCGATCTACTTTCGTAAACAGATATGGAGTGGACAATATCTTCATTTCACTAGTTTTGTTCCTATCCAGTATAAACGTTCCATGGTGAAATGTTTGTTTTCAAGGGATCACAAAATATGCTCGAGTGACACATTGTTGGATGAGCTTCGACATATACATTCAGTTTCATTAGCTAATGGTTATCCAGAAAACTTTACCAATCATTTGTCACAGTAAGGATAGACCATATCTTGAAAAGACAGCTTCTGTACCAAGAAAACTATATTTATTAACCTACTATTCAAGGGTGATCAAATTATGCAATTTACAGCTCAAAGACTTTGAACAGCCATCAAACTCACATTCGTCGCCGCATCTATTTCCCTCACATGCCGAACATTTTCAATCCCTGTACCTACGATTAAAGGACAAAACTCTATGGACTCTACTTCAAACTGCATCCACAAGTTCACCTGTAGTTACAGTAACACCTATTGAGGTAGAACCAATAGAATGTTCCAATGTCGTGTGGTCGAAAAAAACATGTTCCAAAACAGTTATTAAAACACAGAAAATCGCAATGCAATTATTAATCTGAATAGAAATCCATCATAATCCATTGCAAAGCACTTTACTGATATCAGGTCACCTAATCAATATTGATGACTGTTTCACAATTATTTCACATAAATTTAGTTCAAGGTTGATTATTAAAGGTGGTGGGAGCACTCTGAATAATCACAAACACTCTAAACTATGTGTACGAAAACAATAGACTTCAACCTTCGCCTACCATGGACTACTTGACCTATTTAAATATGATTGATCATTAGTATGTACTTTTGTTTTATATAACTGAGTAATTGTCATGCATTTTATTTTATTATTATTGTGAAGCATGTTAGTTGTAAAGCGATTGTAGAGAAACTACGAAATGACGAAATCATCTCTCAAAATTTGTCTTCTGAATGCCTTATTCAGATTTATCAAAGGTATTAACTGTTTTAATTTACTCATATACATTGTTCTTTTTTTCCATTCAGTTTTGTGTATCGAGAATTATATTCCAGATTGTTGACAGTTGTGCTGCTGAGTCACCCTTGTTACATGTATCCGGTGTGACCTTAATGAATATAGATTCTGTTATTAGTCTCTCTTTCCATTTTTTCATATTAGATTTCAGAACACAAACATTGTTCCATTCAATATTGTGGTTTTTATCCCATTCATGTGCAGCTATAGATGAATATTTTCTAAATTGTGTTTCTGCGGCATGACCTGATCTGGACGTTTGACCCACATATTTAGTCGGACACTCGGCACAAGATATTTTGTTAATTACATTGTTTTTATCCATCGTGTTAATTGGATCTTTCAGTTAATTTATCTTATTTTTATTTAGATTCGTCGGTTTAAACGTGGTAGGAATCCTAATATGTTTGAGGTTTCTTCGAATTGCTTCTGATGTAGCATTTTATTATGGTATTGTATTTGATTTTTGCCTTCCTCCTTCTTGACATTCTGTCGTTTTACTCTCTTTTTTCTCTTTTCTATATTATCTTTGATAAATTCTTTTGTTTAGTTGTTGTGGAGTAACACTTTGAATAAGACGTTTATTTCTTTTCGTTGGTAATTTGGTGTTAGTGATAATCAAGGAATCTCCCAGAATGTGTAGTTTTTCTATCTAGCGTCGTTTGTATACTGCCATCTGTTATTCTTTGTACTTTGCAGTCTAACATAGGCAGCCCCCCAATTTCATTCTCATTTTCCCTAATGAACTTTGTTGACTCGACATGACTGTTAATGTGTGAGAAGAATTTCTCAACATCGTTCTTTTTCATTATTCCTAAAGTGTGGTCTACATATATCCACTAACATTTTATTAAAAGTCAATCTGAATGAAGAATATTCTTTTCAATAATTTCTCCTCTTCAGGTTCTTACAATACAAATTAATAACCAATCACAACTGTTGTCATGAAAAGAGATGGTTATGTTATTGATGAATAATTCTAAAAACTTTACCCCACATCGAAGTAAGAATTGAAGATGTTTTCGAGGTGGACAATGAAAGCTACTTAATTCAACCACTGGGCTGAGAGATAATAATCACGGTAAAGTTCAACAATAGCGTCCTAAGGGATGCGAACGCACGAGTGACCTTGAGCCGACCAATCTTAAAAATGAGGAATTTTTGCAGGAAAAGATGACGTACATTTTCAAGAAAATACATGAAAACACATTAAACAGGGTATCTTTCTCTGACAAAACTTAAAAATACGTCCCAGTTATAATGAGGAGTATCAGTTGCTAAGTTAGACTAGTTTCTGTGCGTATGTATTCAATGAGGTGACTGAAGATGAGTTGTTTTTGTGAATGGTTCATCGCTCTTATCCTGTAGTGCAGTCCTCCTCGAAGCCCTCGGTTGAATTACTATGGTTTCCAGTAAGAGGATCGACGACTAATTACCAGGAAAATGTGGATAATAAGACAAATTAAAATAAATGATATCAACTCTAAATCTATCCCTAATCTTAATCCTGACCCTAACCCTAAACTTAACACTAACCTTATTCCTAACCCTAATTACAACCGTTATCCCAACCGTGAACCTAATAGTAATTATCACCCCGAGACTAACCATGACGAGCTATTAACACATTGTCTAAACACTACTTAAAGACGTGATCTGAGTGAATAGCGTTGATATTTCAGCTATGATAATGACAGTTGCCGTTAGCCAACGACTAGAATGCGTTCAAGATCATTGGAGCGTTCTCACTCTTGGGATGCCATTGTTGAACTTCGCCATAATCCCATTAAATTTTTCCCATTATTTAAACAAAACCCACAGTCATACACTCGCACGCACATGATATCATGGATGCCGACTAATGACAAGCAGTAAACTCCAATAAAACAAGTATCAAATGTTTATCTCAGATTCTAGTGGTGATCTTATCTGTTTTATTGATTGGCGCAGCAAAAATGGCTTTGAATGCTTCCTTTTTCCACAACGTTTACCTACCTATAACATAAATGATTAAAGCTGATTCTGTGAGTGACGGTGGAGGTCCACGATCATGCATTCGTTGATCCATGGAATTTGTCAGTAGGAATTCAACACGAATAGCAGCCAGTGTAAGCAGAGCTAATAAAATAATGATAAGAAGAAGAACAATAAAACAATATTTTTACTTTGGGTGAATGAAAAATGCGAGAATATCAATAACTGAAGGCAAATATGATAATCTGATATTTGCTATCTGTTAGAAATAACAACCTTCAAATTACCACTGATCTGATGTCAGATGGTTGGAGGCAATCGATAGGAAGCTGTGGATACCTAGGTTCCATGCTTGTCGGCATTCATCATCAGGGAATATCTGTAACCTTGAAGGGACTCATGTCTCCTCCGAAATTCCAACCCACATCACCCAGTAGAGCAGTGAGTGAAGTTACCACTGATCCATTCGGGCTAGTGATTGACCTCATATAGGACTGTAACGCGTACACTGACTGGTCATCGGAGAACAATCAGTGTCATGCGTCTGGTTCTTGGCGTTGGTGTGGAGTAAATCCTACTGGTTTGTTTTCTTGCCAAGTAACTCGTTGAAAGTTGACTTCTCAGCACAGCTTGTGGACATCCACCCATTAGCCAGGAGATGCGTGTAGACTTAGTTGCGATCCAACGTTGAATGGATGTATATCGGGGTACTGATTGAGGATAGGACTATTTGCCATCGTGATTTGGCAAAAGATGGACAATAGCCACACGTAGCTCCGATTTTTTGCATTTTGGTGGATAGTGGTCATTCGGTGGAGAAAACGAAAGCATTCAAGGTAATTTGTCGTTACTTTTCGAATCTTTCTAATGGACTTAGTATTCGCCTGCTACATATAGCTGAGGTGATAGACATTCAAACTATTAAGCCTCAACTATGCATTCAGAAGAAGTTCGTGCAGCCATTATCCCTCCCTGGTTGGCCTATTAAGACCTAACCAACTGATGATATATCCACCATTCCTTACTTATAATTTCAACCCCTCTCTTAACATCCCTTAATCTTATCACATCTTCATTGAAACATAGTTTTGGTTACAGGATTACATAATGAAATCCTGTAACCAGTCAATCAAAATCACCACAAACCAATACTTGAATATCAATGAGATGCTCACTGGCGACTGGCCCTATTCAGGTAGGTAGTGGGAAGTCGTGACCAGTAGGGTGCCGCACGTCGGGTGTGAGGACAAATACTCGCCGAAGACATTGACTAGAGGTCGCTCTATGTCGTGAATTGGCAGAAGTTAGAATTCATGGGCCATTGGATCGGGTCCCGGTGGCTTAATGGTATACGAACTCGCCTTGCAACTAGAAGGTCCTTGGTTCGAACCCTGGCGGTGGGTGCGTACTGATGAAGAGTCCCAAACTAGGACGAAACAGCTGTCCAGTACTCCCTGGTGCGTTTTCCAATGGTTCTCTAACCAATGTCAGCTCACGATAAAATCCTGTAACCAATCAGTCCAAATGCCTACAAACCAATACTGGAAAACATACTTTATTTACTTCCCTTACAATCTAGCACTACTTAATCGGTTTATTTGTTTTTCTTAGCCTTTATTGACTACTACGTCTCCCTAAACATTTGTTTGTTTAATTATGCTGTTTTTCTTTATTCTTGTTTTCACAGATCACCCCACTTTCTCATTTTTGTTATTGATAGAATTATTATTATTACATTGACTAATTGCACAATTTATATGCATAATCTTATCATCCTATCAACGAATCACCGTGATTGGTTTACATTCGAATATTTACTTGTAAAGTTTTGTGTATAAGAGTTAAGCCTGATAAGATCTACTTGAAATCCCAATATGGCACGCTTAAATGTGTTGTTCTAGCTTTTACTGTCGGCATATTTAATATTTTGAAATCTCGTGGGGATCCTATCAAAAATTGACAAAGTTAGAATTCAAGCGGTTATTGATTTCTGCTTCAGTTGCCTGAATGGTCATCTTGCTTGGGCCTGTAACCTGAACGTCCAGCTTTCGAAACGATTAACGAAATCGTCCTTACGACTGACTACATTGTTAATGTAGCCTAAGGATGACAGTTGGCTACACGTTTTCTCCCTTCCAATGAGCCTGTTGTCTAGGTACTAGGTCTCGATGAAATATACACAGTAATCCGTGTACAGCGTCTACAGTTCCCTCTACATACCATGGACTCATCTGACTAGTTGCTAAAGGTCACTAGTCCGTCCATTAGGTCTTTTAGTTTTGGGCTGCTATAGTTTAGAGTCACCGCAATATCATTTCAACTACGGGCAGTCAACACGGATCAGGATATCAAGCCATCCGTGATATGAAAATTAAGGAAGACAACAGCTAGTCTTAAATCACTGTGGAAATCTGCTGCATGTAGCATAAGGATCTAGATTGGGATATTATGCGCTAATGTCAAATCAGTACTTCTGTGTGTTCCACAAACTTGATGTACACATAATGAGAAGTATTTCCGAAAGGTCACAGTAGATTTTTCTACCTTCGCTGCATCAGAAAGGCTAAGCAACAAGGAACTCTGGAAGTCAGAGAACCAACCAACAAATATATGGAAGAAAATGGAGATGGATTGAACACACACATGCTGAGAGGACAGATGAATGACATTACGTGTCAGGCAAGCCTTTGAGTGGGCCGACTCAAGCGTCGGTGTGAGAATTACATGGAGGACATCAGGTGAGGGAGGAGGTGAAAGCTTATAGGCAGTTATGGGGCCAGCTGAAACTAAGAAGAGAGTAAAATGGCGATCTACCGCTGGAGCCCTATGTTCCACTTAGAATCTAAGGGAATAATAATAATAAAATAAGCATTTTAATTTCAGTATCACATGAAAATAATTACTTACCTAGAAATGATAAATATGAACTACTATGACACAGAAACTTAATAAATGGTTTCTTCATCATACTACCCATTTTTGAATGTGGTGCTAACATATAAAATGTAGCCAATATAGGAAACATTGAACATAATACACCGATAGTTGTTAACTGGGCAAACATTGGCTTCTGACGAAATCCAGGTAGACCTTCATACCAGATTGCAGCCAGTAATTGTTGACAATGAGGATGAGCTACAAACTGATAGAAAAGTATTAGTATAAGTGATTAGAAAATGATAAGAATCTTTGTACATGATATATATATATATATATATATATAAGGCAGTAATGACTGACTGGTGAAACCCCAGTGCATGGGTTAAAAAGTTGCAAGTAAATTTATATACCCTGTTGCACAAATGGTGGCTATCGTAGCCCAAGTGGTCTAGTGAATAAAGCTTCGGCGTTTGAAACTATGAGAACGCCATCACTCACTGGGAGTTGCAGGTACATCCAGATGATGCGTCCCAAATAGGAGGAGATTCGCATCTTGAATTCCACTGCTGGTCAGCATCCACACAATAAGATCAAATTTACACCCTAGTCAATAAATTCTCTTCAGGTTCTTGCAGTCATAAAATATAACATTTACGATAACAGTCAGTTATGCAGCTGCAATGGTAGAGAAAAAGCCATTATTTCTGTGTCTACAATTCAAGGTAGATATACCTGTGGAGATTCTACCTCAGCATTTAACCAGAGCGATAAAGAGAACTTTCTACTCTGAAAATCTGTCTATCCTTCAGTAGCTGTTCACTGTCCACGCAGAAACTGAAAGGCATCTTACCTAGTCTTAGCTCCTCCTCGTGTACATACCGTTTTAACTGTTCCTGTGGTTCGACTTTATATAGGACGTGAGATTGGATAGATTCCTTTATGGATTGGAGAATTTTTACCATTTCGGTTCAGAAAAGGGATGAAGTCGGTTACATACTTGATAGAGACAGGACATCACACTGACTATGAAATAGCCTTTTGGGATTATATAATGCACATTCGGAAGTCAGTAGCAGTCACATTTCGCCTGCGTCTTCTACATATTAGCTGAAGGTGTGGCAGTTAGATTGGCTTAACCAGTACTTTGTATTCAAAAAGAACGCATTCAGGCATTGTCCGTACTTTGTCCAGACTTAGATCAAATACATTTTCCCCTCCAACGTGCCTTTCCTCTGTTTATTATTTTTATTTCTTAGTCTCTCTTCTTCCTAACAGTCTTAGCTACAATGTTTTATAATTTTACCTTTCATTCTCATTCTCCAACAGTGCCGAATTTTCCACACATGCTATTCTGATGTACTATTAGCGATATTATCTCCTTCTTCAGTGTATGACTCCACCTGTTTCATTTCATATGCTGACTAAATCGTCGTGATGATCTATTCACCTCTCTTACTATTTCCTCTATTTTATACTAACCACTCACCTGACACCTTTTAAAACCTTGAACTGAACAGTCAGTGTTTTCTTTCCCACATTGTATAAATCTACTATGAGTAATCATTGTCTCGCATTTAGCATGTTTGTGATGCGAATACTATTCACTTTGTCATCCTATAACTATTGATCAGTTATTCTACGTAAAAAAACGTACCCACTGCATAACTTGCTGTTCATGTATTTAAAATAGTTAGTTCGCTTTATAAATTTGGACAAAGCAATAAGAAGACGTAATTTGTCTGAATCGTGTAATGTATTTGCGCAATACATTCCGAACAATCTGATCACACACGGACTTGTCATAGGAATATATTTTCAAGAGTTGGTTTGTAAGGATTAAATTTGTTTTTCCGAGTTTGACCACGGATTGATATCAGTTAGAGAACCATTAAAAACCAGGGAGGACTGGACAGCTGTTTCATGGGTCACTGAATCGGGTCCCAGTGGCTGAATGGTATACGAGCTTGCTAGCCTTGTAACCGGGAGGTCCTGGGTTCGAACCCTGGCGGTGGGTGCGTACTGCCGATGATTCCCAAACTAGAATGAAACAGCTGTCCAGTACTCCCTGAGTGGTTTTCAGTGGTTCTCTAACTGATATCAATCTGTGGTCAAACTCGTAAAAATAGGAATATATATGAAATTAATGAAGAGTTAAGATGTGAGAAAATAAACTTAGGTCAAGTTAAAACGACATATTGAAGGTCAAAATAACAATGAAGATCACTAAACCAAATAACAGAGGTAATAGTACATCTGCTATGGTATTAAAACAAAGTTTACCAAGGAACGTTTAGTGTGATGACGAATTGTTTTTGAACGCATAAAGATGGTTTAAACATTCTAACTGCCAGCTAGGGCTCCCACAAACTTTAGGATACCCCCCAAACACGTTTTATAGATAGGTTTAAAAGACGTGGGTAAACATTAATTTTTCTCCTGTCTCTATGATATGTTTCGCAATAGAGGAGCTAGGTCTCATGTTCTCACCTTTATTGGGTTCTGGGGATTCTATTTGCCTCTAGAGCCATTTAAGAATATGCTCTTGGTAATAAAAGTCAATCTGAATGAAGAATATTCCTTTCAATAATTTCCAACCATCTAATATCATCAAATCAATGTGTACTGTGATGGTGAGCTACCTAGAATGGTGGCCATATTGCAAACCTGACTGATGGAATTCAGTCTGCACCAAACAAAGGACTAGACACGTCACACTAGTTACTAGTGTCCAATCAAAATATCCACTACAGTCCTACAGGAGGTCAATCGCGAGCCCGAATAGCTCAGTGGTAACGTCTCTGACTGCAGCACTGGGTGACGCGGGTTCGAATCTCAGAAGGGACATGAGTTCCTTCAAGGTTGCAGATACGCCTTGCTGACTGGTGAGTGCCAACTAGCATGAAACCTAGGTCAAACAAGGCTTCCTGCCGATTGCCTCCAACCATCTAATATCATCAAATTATCAATATTTGTTGGCGTTACAATAATGATGGCCATTTATGCGGCTGATACATGTTTTTAACGTAGAATAACGGATTAGTTATGGGGTGTCAAAATAAATAGTCATATTTGTGTGACAAACGTACTAGGCTGAAATCGATTACAAAATATTCGTGAAATGGGAGACAATGGTGGTGATTAGTCATAATAGATTCGTAGAATGTGGGGTAGGAAAATTGACAAGTTAGTTCAAGGTTATATAATGTATCAGGTGAGAGGCTAGTGCATGGTAGTGTGTATTAAAGAGGAGATAGTAGACTGAAGAGTTCTATGAAATAGTCAATAGGGATTATTCATTAAATATTTTTATAAACATACCTTTTTTTGTTCATATCTAATAGCTAATTTCAATCGTGACAGTTGCATACGTTCACTAATATCACCAGAATAGGATTGTCGATCTATTCCACCGACATGACAACCGGTTGAATCCCCTCCAGTATCATGATTCAGTACAACTGACAATTCAGCTGAACTACGTGTTTGTGCTAACATATCAGTAGCAAACTGTTGACATTTCGCTTCCATTTCTTCATAGTCAGACTAAAGGAAAAGAGATTATCGTATTTTTTTTTAAAAAGTAAAGAATATGACTCGTATTTTTTAAAATTCTTAAAATAACCTTTTTAGAAGTACTC